TGGAGGTTGTTCTTGATTATTATCATCACCAGACATTGCACCAAAGCTATCATCACTCCAGGATCTACTCTCAAACTCATCTTCTCTAAGCTTCCCCTGAAAACTTGGATTTAAATCTCCTCTAGACATATCAAGATCACCATTCATTTTCCCTTCCTGCTGCAAAACCAAATAATAATCTACAAGTTATATAGTGAAAAAGAACAAGACATTTCAACCATGAAAGAAAAAGACAAAGCCAACAATGAAGAGAAGAACATACTGCAAAACTCGATATGTTAGTAGTATTGAAACTACAATGGAGCTCTTCTCAGTGTTAATTTTGCTTGTTCATCAAGTTTCAGACCTTTCAATCAGTACCGAGAAAATCTCCTGAAACAAGAAAAGTTTCAATCTTTTTTTTCAGTTTTATCGTAAGAATGAGATCAGCAAAAGAAAGAGAAAGGACAAGACTCTGGGTTTTGTCTCTCTCTCTCTTGAAAATATTCACTTAGAAAGGTCCCAAAACCTGTGGGTTTTTCTTTTCTTTTTACCTTTGACCTTTTAATCGAACCATATTTCAAGAAGGCGAAAAAGACAAAAACAAACCCTAATTTTACTCGGACCTAAAGAAAACAAAGCTTCGATTTTGACCAAATTGGTGTCTTCTTTTGTCATTTTCCCTCAAATTTTGACAAATAAGAAAGAAAGAAGAAACGGCAACATTTTCAAGCCGAGCTAAAAGGCTATAAAAGATCTAGTTTGACTCTGCACCAATCTCTTTAAATATAATATTCCACTGTTACATATAAAAGTATATTTTTTGTAGATCGATAAAATTCGTGTTTCCAAATTGAAACCGTTGGGAAAGAGAGTCTTTTCTTAAATTGACAGAGGCGCGTGGCCCGAGCTCGTGATGTCCGCCGAGCGGCTCAGCCACCACATACGCATTAAAAGAAAATGAGCGGTTTTTTTTTTGGGGCATTAAAAGAAAATTATTGGAGAATATTTAAGATTTATACACCTCACTTAAATTTCCTTAATACGATACGAATCCGCTCATTAACTTGACCGTTACACATGTTGATTAATGAAAGAGATATACTCATAATCTTGTTGATCTTGTTAAAACCTACACAAGTAAGTTTGTTTGGTTTTTTTCCCTCTTAATTGTGTTTTGGACTAATTTTTCTTTCAAAATCTGATGTGTGCGGGAAGATAAATTTCGAATTTTGAATAAAAAGTTTGGAAACATAGACGCAATTTTTGTCTTGTTTTGTGAGTCTCCACCTCATAACCATTTTGTTTTGAATAGTAATGATCTAAAATAAACGATCCAAATAAACTTGGTAAAGTTATATAGAAGCACAAATATTTTTGAAGAAATTAGTAGGACTTAAAAGCCTATTAAAATGGTTTCAATGTGTCAAGTTTGATATACCCTGGTCCATTTTTTTTTTGGGTACTTTTATTTAATTACTAGACTGAAAGGCCGATTTGCCCCATTGAATTCTATGATTAACGTGGTGATAACTTAATCCAGCTTCATTACTATTCTCTATTTATTCAAAACCCATGGGTTTTACAGCGACTAACAAAAAAAAAGAAAAACAACAACAAACTCAAACTCCGAG